ATGCCAGGAAGTCTGAGACCTCAGGATATGATCAGATTAGCTCTTCAGCTGCAGTGCCTGTGCTAACTGCCTGGATGGAGATGCGCTCAATTCAATTTGCAGCAATTAGTGTGACAGAGGCAGATGCACAGGAGGCACGCATTAATGCAGATCCTGGAGAGAAAAGGGCATTGCTTGTATCTTCTTATCCTACAATTTTAAAATGATGAAAAGGAAAACAGACCAGCTAGGGGGAAGAGGCATGCATGGACCATTACACAAGCAGTGGAAATAAAAGGGACAGGATTGGAGGAATAGGTAGAGACCAGAGTATTGCAGGGAGGCACCTGGAGAACCCTGCTGCCCTTGCATTTCCTCCCCAGGTCTCCAGACATCTGTAAGAACTGGAATCCCTGGGCACCATTTTGGGTCAGTGTTGGGATTACACCAGGTTGACTTTTTTTTAAAATCACTGAGCCTTCTAGTGCAGCCATAACTGAACGCTGTGAAATTGTGTGGCTTAGACAAATTATGTGGCTCTGGCCCTTAGAAAATGATCTTAAGATTCTGATGGCATCTTAATTGCTTTAATATGATTTTGCAAAGCATGAAAAGGAAATTAGTTTACTAAATTTGAAGAGAAATGCAGCAATAAATGTACTCAAAAACAAAAACAAAGACACCACCCCTAATTAACCCTTATTAAGCTTTCAAACCACTACACTGATTGAATACCGTCATGCTGTTAAAAATCCAAATGACTGGTATATTTTGTTTAAAGATATAAACCTTTGACTGCTTAGCCATAGTTCAGTTTCATTGCCAGTTTCTTTAAATGCCAGCTACATTGCATAAAGGAATTGTTACGTGTCACTTTTTGTAACAAATACAATATTCTCTCTTGCTATATTTGAATTGCTTTGATTTTGTTTAAAATACGTTTTTGGAAAGATTTATATTATAGTCATATATAAAGCTGTACAACTTTGAGTTTATTCCTAAGGCCAGCAATAATCCTTCTGTTTACTGCATTCCTCTTTGGGAAGCATCCTTAGGGGTATTTGCCTCTGGACCCACTGCCCAGGTACTTAGGATGGGCATCACTTTCACCTCCACTGCTTTTGCTCCCTAAGTTAAGGAAGATAAGCAAAGAAATTGTTCAAATGTTCATGGTATGAAATTTTTCTAAATCCATTCACTTAGCAATTAATATTGTTGCCACAAATATGTTTAGATGGGCTTCCCTGAGCAACACTTATAGTTAAGCTCTGCAAGTGGTGCAAGGAACAATCTAGTGAGAAGGCAGAGAGTGTTTCCACAAGGCATTGCCCAAACACACCTGCTGTTAGCCATTTGACCTAAGTCAATAGGTGAAGATTCCAACACTTCATTTTGCTTTGCTTGGTCACTAATATCTTCACTTATAATCATAGTTTTGCATTTCCAATCTGAGAAGTTCACTGCTTTCTAGTCAACCTCAAATGGGAGCTCAACTTATAAAATGTTTAAAATTGAATGTTTAAGTTTCAGAAATTACTCCAGTGACACTTTGATTAATAATTATCTGGGAAAGAAAACAGTCTCCCTTACCGGAAGCAGCCTTGATGTGAAGCAGTTGACAGGGGGTGGTTGGCCAATAGAGGCCAAGCTGAGATGAAGTACTGAGAACAAGCACCCACATTTGGTATCCTTGCTCCATGGACCTCCTCTAGAGATGCTGTTTCTCACTACAGACTTAACAAACTCCTCAACTGTTCAGTCCTTAGTGTAACGTGTATTGCATCTATGGAAATGTTCTTTTGCTTATAACTTCCTTTTCCCCACTATTTGTGTCCTCACCTGGCCCAGAGCCCAAAATTTTACTCTTTTTATATCCACTTGGCTCACACAAGACCGTTGGAAATATTGATAAATATTGTTGCCCCATCTTCATGCTCTAACCCTTAGTATAATTGTGTTCCTTTTGTTGTTGTTGTTAGAACAACCTCTTTTCTGCCTGATCACCTGCTCCTCTCTCTTATTTATCCCCAACCCCAATTCAACCCTTTCCATATCTGGAAAATTTCTATGCACTTTTTAGGTCAAAGATATCTCTGGAATCTTTTCCTCACAGTACGAGGCCACTGGAATGCATAAGTGCCTCTTCAGGATCTCTGAGGCTGTTTATTAATGCCTCTGTGACAGCATTTAGCACACTCTGTTGATTGTTGTCTGGCTACTTATTCTAGGAGAAACCCCAAGAGTTAAGAGACCATGTCTCATTCACTACTGAGTGCCCTGCACCTAGTACTTTCTCCACAATATTAATTAAATAAATGAACGGATGAATGTATTTGTTAGAATGTATCTTTTCCATTAATTAGACTAATGATTTTATTAAACAAACATAACATACTTTGGGGAAAACCAGTGAAAGTTCAATTCTTATTTCCAGTACTCTTCTCTTTATCCTATATCGAAACACCTCCAAGAAAATTTACTCCTCCATCCAGCCAGTTCATAGACATTCACACAAGGACATGTTCTGGAACCCAGATACTGCCTTGTTCCATTAGGACTATTACAACAAAATGCTTTAGACTGAGTGGCTTATAAATAAGGGGAATTAATTTCTTATAGTTCTGGGCTGGAAAGATCAAAGTACCCACGCGTTAAGGATCTGGTGAGGTGCTGCTTCTGGAATGTAGATGGTGCCCTCTTACTTTCTTCTCACATAGCACAGAGGGGAAGGTGGCACTCTAGGACATTAAGGGCATCCACGAGGGCTCCAGCCTTGTGACCTAATCACCTATTGAGGGATCCACCTCCTAATACTAGGACATTCGTAGCTAGGTCTTAACATATGAAGTTTGGGGCACAGAAACATTTAGTCCATACCATGCACATAACCCTAAATTATACCCAAATGAAAATACGCAAACCACACCTAGGCCAAAGCTTGAGATTTCATAATAAACCAAAGTACAGAGCTGATATTCTGTTGGGTAAAGCAAAGGGTACTCAGAGCCATAAGAACTGTGTGTTAGCCAACAACTTGGGGACATGGATCACAGATGTGCAACCTGGCTCTATTCAACTCCAGAAGCACCATTTGCACAGACTAAGACATGAGTCATACCCCATGGAGGGGTTCCACAAAGCAGTTTGAGTGAAGGTCTAATCTGGGTAAGGAACTATGGAAAAAATGTACACTTGTTTTTTCAGGTCAGGAAGTGAATTACTTTCTCCTCATCCTTGTAACAATTGCTCTCTCTTAGCAAGACTAGAGAAAGCCAAGTTCCTGAGGGTGCAGCTGCAGTGCACAGAGCAGATGCTGATTTCATCTGTGCTAGCTGATGGGTGTATCATAAAATCTACATCTAGAGCAACATGTGGACAATGATGTAATATTAGTCACAACACTCAACTTGCTGTCACAATGGTCTTTCTCTTCCCCTTGTCTCATACTTAATTTTAAAATGTTCAGAAAGAATAGGTTGAGAAATTATTTTGATTAAATTTTAGTAAGTATACTACCAAATCTAATCATGAATTTAGAAAGGTTATAGTGTTATAAGGAAATATCATCTGATGAACTTCAAGAACAATTAATAACATCCCCTTAATATTATAACCTACTTTCTCATTTTATGTGACCTGATGCATGACAAATGTCCAAAAAAATAAAAAGATGAGGAGGGATATTCCATCTCTTATCCTTTGAAAAGATGACGAGTCTGTGTTTCTTACTGGTGTTCTAAATAATTGAATGGGAAAGTAAAATAATTGAAATGTTATAGTTTCTTCCATGAATCTTGATAACTATATTATTGAGGTATTTTAAATAATGTATATATTTTTATTTTGTTAAATCTGTTCTGTTCTGCTTTTCTTTGCTCCATCCTCTCATTTGAAAATTTTTCGTAGATTTTAAGTTCAACTTTTAATTCCTGCTACTTTAAAGACTTATAGCTTCCTGTCACATTTAAAGGAAATACAAATCAGATAAAGAGAAACTAGAGACATTTGTAGCTAAATGGATGCACATTGAGACCATACTCTTTTTAAGTGAAATAAATAGGACACACATGTGTAAGTACCTATTAGTTTTTCTGGTATGAGAAATTAAAAGTGTAGATAAGGATCAAAATGTATAATAGATAATGTGAACTAGGAAGAAAAGGTCCAAAGGGTAAGGGGAAGTGGAAGAGGTAGGGGAAAGGAAAGAAGGGAAAGGATAAATATGAGATAAAGAGCAAAGAGAAACAAAGTCTTTGTAAATAGGGAGGGGGGAGGGGTTGAAGGGAGGGCAGGGGAATGGGAGAAAAAGTAAGAACCAAGATATATCACATAAAGATACGAATTCTCAATGATGAATGTCATCATATTGTATATTTAAAATGTACCAGTAAACATAATGAAAAGAAAATCAGATAAAGACACATTCTGAGAAGTAATAAAGTTTTATAGATTTTATTGGAACACTAATTCAAACCAAAATCTAACATGTCCAAGACATGGAAATTGAAAACACTGGATATTTAATAATATTTAGGAATTATTGTGATATCTAGGGGTCTTTTATCTTTTAAGATACCTCATATATTTAGGAATCAAATTATGTGATTATCTGATATTTGCTTCCAGATAATAAACAGGGTGGGAAAGTGATTAAATAGATATACCAAGACTGATCATGAAGTAATAATTCTTGAATCTGTGTGACAATAACATTGAGATGCTTCTTTGTATGCTGTCTACTAGGCATATGTTTAAAATGTCTCACAATATAAAGCTTAAATAAGAAGAAATGTTTTTCTCCTCAAATAGGACAAACAGGTTAAGACAAGGGAAAATAAATGTTTTCCATTTTGCTAAGCAAATTCAAAGTTTTAGAGTACCAATTTATGAAAATCCTTCCTCTGGTATTATGGTAGGCTGTTGCCATTGTTTAGATGTATCTTCTTTGACATTAATTTAGTTAACTTCTTTTAACATCCACTCAATGTATGTGTCTGAGAAGCATTTCATGTTTCTTTTAGGATTGTGGAAAAGGGGTATTATAGTGAGCGAGATGCTGCAGATGCTGTTAAACAAATCCTGGAGGCAGTCGCTGTAAGTAACAAATAACAGCTATCGTGTATTTAACTCTTAGTCATCTCTTCTTTTTATAGCATCATCATTTATCAAGTGCAAATTTGTGATAAGCCATAAAGTTTAGAGCAAAAACATGTGAAATATTTATAGAAAATACACTTAATATATTTATATTGTCTATTAACTACTCCAGCTCTGAAATATACAGACCTCCTTTGTAATTCCATAAATTGGTTAAAATAATTTCCTTTAGATTAGATGAGACTATGTTACACTTTATTGCCTTTATTTATTCCTTATCTCTTTTTTTTGCCATTTCTTGAGTTAGTTTCTTTATTGTTATTTTTTTTAATTTGGAAGGGAAGTTGAGAAAGTTTGAGATAAATATAAACTCAGCAGCTTAGAGAGTCTTGGTTTTTATCAAGACAAGAAATGAGTGAATTAGATGAGAAAAATTGGCAGTTTTATTTATCGAAGGAAAAATTATAAATTACAAATTTATACTAGACTGCAAGTTTTATAAATTAAGGGTAGAAACAAATGTGCACACATTTACAAACATAGTTTGAATTTCAGGTAATATTTGCCTGGATAAAAGTGATTACACTGGTTAAAATCTACTCATATATTTACAGTGTCTAATGCATGCTAGTGACTCATTTACTGAATATACAGCCAAAACAAAGTATTCTCTGGAGAAACGGGACAGGGCTATGGGAGGATGTTTATACAGACTTAGTTAAAAAAGACAAATCTATGAAATATGCCCAGAATTAAGATATATACTGGTATTCAGAATCACTTATCTAACTAAAATTCAATATCTTGAGAAAGTAGCCAAAATGACACAAGCACATGTCTTATGAACTGTACTCACAGCAAAACCTAGAAAGAGAGAAAGAGGGAAAACAGGAGGGAGGGCGAAGAGGAGGAAGGCTCTGATTTCTGAGCAGCTCATGTACCAGTGATGGAAAAGAAAAAAGCGACCTTCATGATCTTTGCAGAGAGCTACTAGAAATTACCAGTCTGTGGTCTAACCAAATCTGTTAGTGAACTATCGATACCAGGTATAAGGGGCTTTATAGTCTGGTCTTTATTATTGTTCCTTCTTGTGAAAGTATTTGGTCATTTTTACATAGTAGGAAATAAAAAGTGTTAAATGAAAATGATGGACACTAGAGAAGATGTCGTAAAATTTTTCCTCTAACTGTATAACACAGCTCCAGATTATATGAACATTAAGCAACAAATTCATATTATCAACTCCCTATACCCAAAATAGCCACCTCCTTCCATATTTTTATCGCCCTGGTTTTCTAGGCTTGCAAACTTGGGAGTTGTTTGCATCTTTCCCCTTCCTTTCTCTCCTCACATCTGCCTTTCCAAATTCAGTTGCTCTTCTTTAAAATGCCCATGAACCTCATCCTACTCCTCTTCGTGCTAGGACTGTTTCTGGCATGACTTTTTCCTTAACACTTCCATTTGCTTCCAATTCCTATTCTTAAACATATAAATCTAAAATCATCTCTTGCCATCACCCTTTTCATTTTGTCACTTCCTAGTTCAATAATAGCAGTCTCGTGCCTATCTTAAATACCCATTTGAAACCTCATTTCTTAGGCTATGCCATCACTTATGTATTCAGGCAAATTTGCTGGCACATCATTTTGTCTAAACTGGGCAGGTAACAATTAACAGTACTTTGGAAGAAAAGCACAGTTGCATTCAGTTTTTAGTTACATGATCTTGGATATGTCCTAAACACATTGAGCCTCAGTTTCCTCTTGTAAAATGGTCATGGTATTCAACCTAACATAGTTGTGGAAAAGATTAAGTGAGATAATGCATGGAGTCAAAGCAGTGTTTATAAGACAGGGAAAAGAGAAGAAGCGACATCAGACTCAGTATATTCATTTAAATATTAATTAAATACTGTAAATCTATGCAAATATATGAACTCCCTGGCTAAGCACTACAATTAAAAACAATTGTATAATCTTGAGATCCTTGATGTGTTGCTTACACAACTAGGTTCGGTTTGTGAAAATGTAGTACTTTTGTTTACTTATCTGTATGTGTATTATACCAATAAAGTTTTAAAAAGAAGTGTGCTAAAAAAGTGGCATGAGTGTATACTTGTAACATGAAATCAATCCTGAAGTTAGCATACTGTGTATGTATATTTGCAGTTTATCCGGTTAGAGTTAGGTATGTTCATCTTTCTAACTCTATTACATATTGTCTGTCAGGCAGAATTTTTTTTCTCTCTGAGACAGTAGCACATTATGCTCTGATGGGGCTGAGGATTTAGCTCAGTGGTTCTGCTGCCTGCCTTGCAAGTGCAAGACCCGAGTTCAATTCCCGGTACAACAACAACAACAACAACAATAAAACATTAGGCTTTGATGCCATGTGAGACCGTGGGTAAGGAGAGGGACATGTGTCCCTTTAGACCTCACATTCCTCTCCTTATACCATTTTAAGACATTACTTCAAAATGGGATAATCATCAAAGTAATTGTTCTCAATGCTTCTAGCTTGCCTTTCAGTGCAAGTAACAGAATGTACAAAATTAGAAGGGGTTTTGTAAGGAGACAGAAGCAAAGAGCCCCACCATGCAGCCTGGATAGCAGTCAGGACTCCCTTTCTCCCATTTTTGCTTTTTGTCTCATCACCTGCTTTTCTCTTCTCTCTTCCAGCACTTTCTCTACCTCACAGCCTCACAAGTGACATATGGTCAACTTAACATTCTCTCATTAACATATTACATTAAAAATTCAAGCCTGAGCGTTTCCTCAAAATAGATGCAAATGTCACTTGATTTTAATTCCAAATTTGAAGACTGAAACTACATTTGGCTCAACTTGAGTGAGGCATCCTTCCCTAGTCCAGTCAGCTGTGGACAGAGTGCTAACTGTGCAGTTTAAATGTGGGCGACAGGGCCAGCCCAGGTTTGGGGGAAAGGAGCCATCCTAAGAGAAGAGGCAGTTGGTTATTCTTCGAGAGTGAGTTGAACACACCTACAGGCGCCGGTTTGGCTAACTGTTCTCTACTTTTTTTGCTGCTACTACTTCTTCATGATGTTCTCCATTCCTAAATTTTCACTGCATCCTAGATGCAGTTTTAACATCTGAAATGAACAGACATTTCTCAGACAAAGAAGCAGCAAAGCAGCAAACAAATATATGAAAAAATCGGCATTTGAGATGCAGATGAAAACAACACTGAGATTCCACCTCACCCCAGAAAGAATGGCTGCTATCAAGAAATCAACCAATAACAAATGCTGGCGGGGTTGTGGGGAGAAAGGAACCCTTCTCCATTGTTGGTGGGAGTGCAGACTGGTGCAAAAACTGTGAACGTCAGTATAGAGATACCTCAAAGAACTAGGGCTGGAGGTCCCATTTGACCCAGCTATTCCCCTGCTGGGGATCTTCCCCAAAGAATTAAAAGAATCATACCACAGTGATATACGTGCACCCATGTTCATAGCGGCACAGTTTGTAATAGCTTTCTTGGAAGCAGCCCAAGTGCCCATCAACTGGAAACTGGATAAAGAAAATGTGGCTTTTTAAATAAAATGGAGTACTACTTAGCCATAAAGAATGAAAAACTAGAGTCATTTATAGCTAAATGGATGCATACCAAGAGGCCATACTCTTAAGTGAAATAAATAGGACACACATGTGTAAATACCGAATAGTTTCTGTAGTGTGAGAAACTGAAAATGTAAACAAGAGTTAAAATGATTAAAATGAATAATTGATAATTTGAAATAGGAAAAAAGGTCCAAAGACAAAGGAGTGAAGGGAGAGGAAGGGGAAAGAAAAAGAGGGAAAGGATAAACTATGAGAAAAGAAAAAAAAATGGAAATGAAATCTCTGTAAATAGGGAACGGTGGAGGGGGTGAAGGGCGCACAGGTAATGAGGAAAAAAATAAGAACCAAGATACATCATGTACAGGTACAAGCACCCAATGATAAGTGTAAATGTATCGTATACCTAAAATGTACCAATAAAATTAATTTTAAAATTTAAAAAAATGAAAATCTGTTGTCTGCCATAAAAACATGATTTCACTTTCTGATTTTATTTTGGCAGAAACCCTACTTGTTTATCATGTAAGAACTACCTTTTCTATGAACAACTTTACTAGTTTCTCACATACTCACATCTCCTCCTTCTTTGTAAATCAAGCTGTTGAATATATATATTATATTCTCATTCACTGACACCAGCATAGAACTCTTCAAATGTTCCTTCAGCCTTTTTCATCTTTGTAAATGATACTACCATTCAACAGTTGTTTGCTAAAATTCTAGAATTCACCTTCCATTTATTTATTTCACATCTCAATAATTTCTTCAACAAGTCCTCCCAATCTACCTCAAACAGGACATGACTCTGACCATTTTTCTGAATCTTCACTAAGCCCTATTTTCATTCTCCATCATCTCCCATTCACCCTGCTGCAAAACCTTCTAACTGATGAAACTACTTCCACCACTTAAAGTCCATTTCCCTTACAATAAAATCATAAACCTATCATAAACCCTTTCTATGCTTATACCAGTAATAGCATTCCACTGAAATGGAAAAACATCAAAATTCTTCAACATATTCTGGAACCTCTTATACATTCATATTTCTTTCCACCATTGCAGTCTTAATTGCAAATGAGCCATACCAGTCCTTTTTACTGACTCACAGAAACATCTTAGTTAATTCCTATTTCAAGGTATTTCTTGGTTCTGTGCCTGCAATTATCTTTTAGCACATATTTTTGTGAATCACTTTTTTATTTCTTTCAAGTCTCTACCTAAATGTCACCTTTCTGGAGTGACTTTCTGTTCCTCCTCTACCTGAGATAGTGTCCACCACTACCTCTTAAAGCTGCCTTCATTCCATTACCACATGTCCTTTTCTTTCATACTTATAAATATTTGAAATTGTACATTATTTTGTCTGTGTTTAATGTTTGTTGCCTATGGCCTTCAAAGTAGGAACTTTTTATTGTT